TAATCTGTCTCAAAATAATTCATTAACAAAATTATAGGTAAATCTTAGGATTGGATTCTTGACTTACCTACTTTTTTTCTTTCTTCTATTTCCCTGTCTTTATCTTTTCTCTCAATTACATTTTATCTCTTCTATTTTCCTATTTTCCTCCTTAGTTTGTGATTTCTTTTGCCAATTCTTTATCTTCTACATAGCTCATCTAATTTGTCATTGTACAATTCCTCATAACTGCTTCTTATCTTATTCCTTTTCTTCATTTGTCACATTTTATTTTCCACTCACTGTGTTTTCATACAGTTTTGGAAACTTTTAGAAATATTCTTCTTTAAAAATTTATGTAATGTTTTCATATAAAAGGTAGTGGATTCTCTTTCAAATATTCTTCCCTCTGTATAAATGTAGCAGTTCCTTCCTTGCCTGTATTTCCTTTTTCCTTCCCCCAATTTGACTACACTTGAAGGACTTAGATATATAACAGTGCTATTTTCTATAATTTAGGAACACTTCTCTATTTACAAAGCATAAAAGAAGTTGATAATAATGCAGTAATTCTAAAACATGCCCCTCCCTCCTATTCTCCTGCTCCTCTGTTCTCTCCACATGTCTCCAGCCTACACTTTCTTTTATAGTGTATCTGTTTTGTACACCTTTGTCCCCTTCCCCCAGAGATTCTGATCCAGTAGCTTTAGGCTAGAATTCTGGGCTTTTATATTTTGACAAAATTCCCTAGGGGAGTCTGATATTCACTCCTTATTAAGAATGAATTCTTTAATATTGGAATCAAAGCACAATAAGCTTTTTAACTGTGATGAATAATCCAATAGATTTAATTATGATTTTCTTTCTGTCCAAAACTAAGACTAGATGTTAATTGCCAGAGAAAAAGGTAAGGATGCCTATGACAACAGTATATTAATATGATGTCAAAGCTTAGAAATTGTATTGGTAATGGCTAATTCAGTACTTAAAATATTTGGAAGCTATAGAATTAAAATTAATTTATGTTTTCTGCTGTGTGAATAAAGTTGATTGAGATGTTACATTTAATTTTGTAAATCCAATGTTATCTTTTTTCCAGCTCAGAGGCTAATTGTGAAACTGCACATACAAACTTTCACTTCCTGTTTTGAACCATTATTTTGCTCTCTTATGCTTTATCACTGAAAACTCTCCTCGAGTAGACCATACACTGTAAATATTTCTCCTGATTACAAAATCTTCTCATACAAATGCAATAGACTATTTAATGCGCTCTTCTTTCACAAAATTAAAAAACCTGAAGGCCCTTATTTGAGATTCTATATAAATGAGATTTAGATCGAACAATTTTAAATTATTGTTTGATTCTTAGCTATTTAATTCTATCTCTTATTTGGGAGATAGAAATAATAAAACCCTTGTTGATTATAAATTGGATTGTAAAAGTCACTGTAGCCATCAGCCATGAAATAAAAGGGCCAAGATCAAAACTACAAAGTAAAGAGGCTGAGATAAGAATTCTGAAGCAGCTTTAGTTTATAGCATTACCACCAACAAGAATTTCTTGACTACTTAGCAAAGACTCAAAAGGCATTTATTCTATCACTTTACTACTCAAAATGTTGTTCCTGGACGAACAGTATTAGCATTTTTTTGAAGTTGGTTATTAATACAGAATTTTGGCCTCTCCACAGACCTACTGAATCAGAATCTGCACTTTAACAAGACTTCCAGGAGGTTCTTATGCACATTAAAGTTTGAGAAGAACTACTAAAGCATACATTTGATGTGTGTCCTACTCATTTTTAAAAAGTATGAATTAATAACTGTAAGCATTACATACCACTGGGAACAGAAATATGAGTCATAATCTTTCCCCTCTAACTGCCTCCCTGACTTCCATGTTTTAGACAAAGTGTTTCCCATTTCAGTAGTCGTTCATGCTTATATGATCTAGCTTATTCCCAAACAATGTTGATTTATCTTTAACAGTTCATGCTACATTTAGCTTTTCCTTTCTGTTTCATTGTTTAAACTCTAGTGTTAGCCTCAATACCTATCTACCAGACTCCTGTACTGGCTGTTTTGCCTGTTTCCTTGCCTCAACATTAGCTTAAATTTGGCAGAGCCTTTGCCTCAGAATTATCCAGAAGCACAACCAGCTCCAGCCTTCACATTTCCATATTTAAAAACTGAGTCATTTCCTATAGCCTTCCAATGAATTGCAAACTCCTTAATAAAAAGCAAAGTTCTCTTTATTCAGGCCATGATATACCCTCAAGGCCACACCTCTCCTTAAACTCCTGCTCTCATGCAGTGAGAGCCCCAATTTTATACTCCAGATCAGATTTTGTAGATTGCCCATGACAGGCCTTGACTTCTACCATACTCTCACCACCCCTAACCCTACATGTGCCTGAGTCCTACCCATTCTTTGAATTCCAAATTCAACCAGAGGCCTCTTTTGTTTATCCTTCCACTGAGATCATTCCTCTTCTGACCTACTATTTATTGAACACCTTGCTTTTTTTTTTTTTTTTTTTTTGAGACAGAGTCTTACTCTGTTGCCTGATCTAGAGTGCCATGGCATCAGCCTAGCTCACAGCAACCTCAGACTCCTGGGCTCAAGCAATCCTGCCTCAGCCTCCCGAGTAGCTGGGACTACAGGCATGCGCCACCATGCCCGGCTAATTTTTTTTTCAGTATATATTTTTAGTTGTCCGATTAATTTCTTTCTATTTTTAGTAGAGACGGGGTCTCGCTCTTGCTCAGGCTGGTCTTGAACTCCTGAGCTCAAGCAATCCTTCCGCCTCGGCCTCCCAGAGTGCTAGGATTACAGGCGTGAGCCACTGAGCCTGGCCAACACCTTGCTTTTTATCCTACTGTATAAAGTGTAACAAATTATCATTCACAACTGTGTCTAATCTTTTCAACTAGATTATACACTGCCTAAAACCTAGAAAATTGTGCTTTTTCCTTTGAATGTCTGCAAGGCCCAATGATAAGTATTAATACTAATGATACCATGATGGTGATGAAACTTCCTTCCTTCCTTCCTTTCTTCCTTCTTTCCTTCCTTCCTTTTTCCCACCCTCTCTCCCTTCCTCCCTTCTTTACTTCCTGCATTCCTTCCTCCTTTCCTCCCTCCTCTTTTTCCCCACTTCCTTTAATCATAGATTTATGCGTTCACTCAACAGATACTTATTGAAAAGCCTCATGCACCAAATATCGTACTAAGCAATAGGAAACAACCGTGAATAAGACACCATCTCTGACCTCAAAGAATTTATGGTTTAATAGGAATATAGACACAATTTGTTATAACTGGTGTCTGTTACTAAGCACTGGCTGTCACATGTAAACAGGTGGTAAAGGGTAAGATGAAAGCAATGGAGCATTGTCAACTAGTTACAAGGAACTATAACATGTTTATTAGAGCACATTTCATGGGAATTCAGGAGATTATAGTCAGGACAGCTTGTGAGTAGTTCAGTAACTGTATAGTTTCATATTTGTTGAGAGGTACATTTCCCTGTAATAATTACCTTGTTAATATTTTTGCTGATTTACAGAGTCTTTTAATTGCTAAAAGTAGACTACCAAGAATTCTAGTATTCAAAATACTTCTGTATGAAAATAATAAAAGAAATACAAGAAATTTATGTAGAATAAGAGTCTATGGTAGATCTGCTTCAGTTTCAGAAAACATGCATTCATTCCTTTATTTGGGAAGCATGTACTGGAGTCTACTATAAGCTTGGTATTGTGTCAAGGGGGAGGAGCATATAAGAATGTTAGACAATTTGAATCACATCTGTTAGGAGAGTATTCTACATATTGACATAATTCTGTCAGTAACATAAGGATTTGGGAGTCATTTAGATTTAAATATGATAGGTATCTCAAGTTATCAGATATTTCATCTTCTAAGGTTCTTATTTAGTAATGCATTATTTTAATTGCTTTACAAATTCTAGATTATCTTCAAAAAAGGTAAATAGAGAGTAATTGCCATTTTTATTTAATAGTAAAAAAACATTTTTTGTGAATACTTGGTTATAATAGTCTCTTTTTTAATGAATCTATTTTTTCGATACTTTGAAAATTTCATTCAGGATAAAGAATAGAAGATATTTAAGCTCAACACCATCAATGACTCATAAAAAATGTTCTGGTGTCTATCGATTATTTTAAAATTTATTACTCTACCTTAGGGATTTCTCAGTGGGATCTCCATGAAAGTAATTAATTCTCAGTTTTATGTGGTTTCTAATCCAAAATGCATTGATGCAAACAGAATTTGAAGTAAATTTCCTTCTATTATAGTAATTACCTTTATTTAAATATCTCTAGAGGTTTTTTTTTTTTTTTCAGCAAATATTATGGGTGTACATATGTTTAGGTTACGTGTGTTGCCCTTGGTTCCCCCCCCCCACCGAAGTCCGTGTTTCAAATATGTCCATCCTTCGGGTAGTGCGCATTGCACTCCTTGTGTATACAAATACCCCTCCCCTCCTCCCTCTTCCCCCCTCCTCCCACCGCCCTAGAGGTTTTTTTTATTAAAAAACACTACGACTAAACTATGTTCTTTTTCACCTTTCATATCGACAATCACTAAGAAACCCAAATACTTTGTTCATGTTTAAATTTTACAACACTTCATAGACTATTAAACATGGAACATCCTTGTGGGGACAAGAAATCGAATTTGCTCTTGAGAAGGTTTCCAACTAATTGATTTGTAGGACATTATAACATTCTCTAGCTGAGAAGCTTACAAAAATAAAAACTGGAGCTGAACCGAGGGGGTGCTTTATTCCTGACACATAAAAGGTGTCTTTCTTTCTGTCTTGCATTCTTTGGCTATGGGCATGTCAGTTTCATAGAGAAATTTTCACATGGAGCTTTTCTATTTCTTTCTCTCCCAGTACAACTGTATGTGGTAGCACATTGTTTAATCTCTTCTCAAATAAAAGGACATGGGGCCTCATTTTTGTTTTGCCTGTTTTGGTATCTTACAGGAACTCCAGGATGGCATCAGGCAGCGGCAAACAGTTGTCAGAACATTGAATACAACTGGGGAAGAAATAATTCAGCAGTCCTCAAAAACAGATGCCAATATTCTACAGGAAAAATTGGGAAGCCTGAATCTGAGGTGGCAGGAGGTCTGCAAACAGCTGGCAGAAAGAAAAAAGAGGTAGGGTGACAGATAAAATAGGCATTTGAAAATTTTAGCAGAGCTATTTAAGCTGTCCTGAAAAAAAGATTTTATGAAAGAAGATTATAAGCAGGGTAAAAGGAACAAACATTAAGGAGCCCATCAACAGTTAATCAACAGCAATAAAGAAATTATTTTTCTTTCTTTTTCACATATACTAAAATATATACTCATTATTAATTAGTGTTTTTCTGGCATTTTAAAACTTCAGGTTTATTTTAAAAATCACACAATTGCTTAAATGTGAACATGTTCAGTATATTCCAACTTGAATAAGCTGAATCTCAATTATTTGTAAAGAAGATGAGGAAAAAACAATTATAAATGACTATTTTGTAGGAAAGACAGCCCTTTGCTAAAATTTTTTAATAGCTATGATATGACTATGATACTAAAAAACACAATAGTAATATTTTCCTCTAGTTCCGCTACATCTGTTAGTACATTCTTGAAGAGGGACTTGGGCTGAAAATGTCCAGATCTAAAGGGAAAAGCAAAACCCCAAACACGTTATTGTTGAGTTCAACCACCATTTAACTTTTCCCTAGAATGTACTGAAAGCACAGAAAGCCAAATGTATGCTGCTGCACTTGGAAATATTTTATAAATGGGATTTTGTATTATGCTTCCGGTTGTTGATGCTAATGTGTCTTGTTTCATAAGAAGACTTGACCTTTATTTACCAAATGAGACTATTGTTATGAACAATGAGAACTCAGTTCTATTGCCAAGCCCTTGCCTCCTACATATCATCTACATAATAGGTGGATTTTAATATTCAGGAAGCTGAAACAACTCATTGGTGAACATCTTTGGTTAAGATGTATTAGAAAAAAGATTTTGGAATTATGTGTATTGTCTTTGCCCACTTCCCCTTGCTTCCTTTGCTCATGTTGCATTATTCAGAAAGTAGATACAACTCATATTCTTGTATAAAATGGACATATCAGTTGACCTATACGTACACACAAACACACACACACACACACACACACACAAAATCTTGCCAAAGTTAAAGAATAATAGTGTCGCCATCTAAAAATATTTGTATATTAAATCTTGGTTCAGAAAATATTCTGGATTTTATGTAAATAAAATAAAGAACTAAACTTTGTAGTTAAACTACTTCCTTGAGTAAGTCATACACTATTTTCCCAGATTGAAATCCTTCTACTAATCAAACAAATATTACATTATTTAAATAACTGATATGTTTATATTATGAACAGGTTTAAGCCTGTATAATGTCCTTTCTGAAAAAGCCTGAAACTAGTCTAAATTAAGATTGTAAGAAATGAGAAGGTTAAATTGAATAGCATACTATAAAAATATATATTTTCGATTCATAAAGTGGATTAAATTAGAGAATTATTTTCTATACTATGTATATTATTTCTTGTTTTTAAACATCTTACTCATATCATATTTGAATACAGCATATTAATATTCTCTTTGATAACTCCCATTCACCTGAATTTTCAAAATCTTATCTGTTATTGGCTTCTAAATGCAAACTATAACTTATAAATAAAGATAGGGCAATATGTCTGTTTCAACAAATAAGCCCTAAAATTTAGATCCTTCTAACTTTATAAGAAAGTAGTATATGCTGACTCTGTTGTGAAATATAATACAAATTGTAGGTTAATTATATCTAGGGATTTGGCTATAATTGGTTAGAAAAAAATTTCCCATTTAAACATTTTGACCTACATCAGATATTGCATTTTTGTGCTTTAAAAAGTCAAGATCAGCTTCCTTGACGTTTTTTTCTTATTATCTCAGCTTGTAAAGTTGTCTACTTCATGCTACATTTAAAAAATAAATGTTAACATATTTAAATTTCTACCAAAATCAGTTTTGTTGCATATTTCCTCAAGATTTTTATATCATTTAAATTGTATTAAATGTAAAAGTGTAATAAGATATAAGTATCAGTTTTACCAACACACTCACAGCTATTGCCAAGTATTGAGCAGCAAATCAAGGAAAAATAAATAAAATAACATTTCATAAAGAATATGTTAACCTAACAATTGTAGGAGGGCTTTAATCATGAACCTATTGTTAATCAATAGAATGCTTTTAATGAAAACCAAGCAAAAGTTATTTATTGAACAAGGAAATAGAAGTTATTTATTGTACAGGTGAAAAATAAGATGCCTATTTAACTTAACAACAGTATTCTTAGTTTGTAATGGGCTTTAAATACAGCTGTTAGAAAAATTTAACATTCCTTAGTCTAGGGGCACATATGAAAGAAAGTGTACAATTTAAGCAAAAAAAGTCTATGAAAACTATTTGGAGCCTTACAGCATATAATTTTAAGCCTTTCCCTTTGAAAATGTGAGATATCAGAAAAATGAAAACAAAATTCTCAAAAGTTCGAATAGCAGTGGACAGCCATTAAAAGTTAAGTCTATGTTGGAAACAAATGAAGTATAAAATATAGTCAATTAACTGTGCAATTTGAGATAGAAAATTCACTGTTGCTTCAATTATATAGCAGAAGAACTGGGTAACATCTATAGGTTTAAGCATGATAGTAATGAGCTTAATGGTGGCTTAGCCACCCAAATTATCTTTGTAAAGAAAGGAGATGCAAATAAAAACCTATCAACTATAAAGGGAAGTCATAAGTTAAAACAAAGCAAGCCTTTGTACAAAGATTCTTAAGCCCAGGTCAGTGGATAGAATTCAAGAAGTGCTGTGATCTTGAATGGAGAAAAAAATTACATTTTTGTTTTTACTAACCTCTAAATGATATTTAACATCCCCTTCCATTTTGAATGTATGCAAAAAACCACAGTAAATCTGGAAATGCCTGTGAAATCACATATATTTTCATATCTCGTAAGTTACTGGATATCTTAAAATAACATTCATGCTTATCACTACTTCAAAACTTCAGTAGTTATTAGATCTGCCACAAGATCTTATTTAATAAATGAGCATATGCATTACTATATCACAAATTTGTTTTTGCAATAATTGTATAACTGTATTTCTTTCTTTTATATATATTTATTTCAGAATATTATGTGGGTGCAAACGTTTTGGTTACATAAATTGCTTTAGTACTATTTGAGTCAAAGTTATAAGTGTGTCCATCACCCAGATAGTGTGCACTGTACCCGTTAGATGTGAGTTTACTTATCCCTCCTCCCCTCTCCCACCTGCTGGATTTCCAATGAATGTTCTAACTGTATTTCAATACATTGGTTTTCTACGAAGTCATATATTTTATATTATGGTATTAAAAACATTCTTTTTAGGAGTCCCAGGCTTCATCAGATTACCAAAGGGAATCAAGGCATAAAAAATGATACTATTTCTAGCCAGCTATCTGTTTGTCTGCCCAGAATCTTACCCTAATTTACAATGATTTCAATCCTTTTAACGTGCAGTCATCATCTTCATACACTCCTTTTCTTCTGAAGTATTCTAGAAGATGTACCAGTCAAGGGAATGTGGGGAGTCAGGCTTTTAAGCAATGAGTTGCTGACAGTATAATGACTGAGGATTTTACTTAGAATAATGTCAGTTGATAACAGATTGAATGGGAGAGGGAAGCAAGGTGAGGGGAGGTGGAATTCCTAAATTGAGAAATCTCTGAATCCTAACCTTTAGCAATAAAAATGATTTTAAGAGATTATATTTTTTTCCTCCTTAGACAAATATGATATTATTCCTACCATTTCACAGATAAGGCAATTATTGTACTGATATTTATTCAGGAATAGTGATTTTAATTTAAATGTTACCTAATTAAAAATATTTCTTGAAATTTTTCTTTCCTCAAATTTTAGTGAAAAAATTTCAAGCATATAGAAATATCAAAAATAGTATAATGAATACCCATATACCCTCTTCTCGTCATCCCAAATTCCTAGAATCAACAATGGTTAACATTTCGCCATATATGCTTTTGCTCTCTCCCTCTCTGCCCTTTCTCTGTCTCTCTCTAATATAGGATATAACACACACACACACACACACACACACACATATACACACACAAAGAACACACACACAAGCTTATTTTGTTGTTTTAACATTTGCAAATAAGTTATAAACACCATTATACTTTATCCTTAAATAATTCAGTATGCACCAGCTTGAAATATGGGTATACCATATATAACCATGCTTATTTATCATGTCCTCCAACATAATACCATATTATTATTTAATATCCATTCAATATTCAAATTTCCCCAGTAGTTCAAAAATGTCTTTTACATTTTTGAAGGTTTTTTGGGGTACCAATATCCCATTATGGTTCATTCATTACATTTGGTTATTATGTTTCTTTAGCCCTTTTTAGTCTAAAACAGCCTTCCTACCTCTTTTTGTTTTTACTAATCTGGACATTTAAAGAAGTCCAGAACGATAGCCTGAAAAAATGTCTAATCTTTCTGAAATTGTCTGATTTTTTCCCCCTCACATTATCACTTAACTTGCTTTCTATTCCCTGAATTTGTTGTAAACCAGAAGTTAGGTCTAAATAAGACTTGAAAAGATGCAAGTTAAACATTTTTGGCTAGAATATTTCATAGGATACTGTGTACTTATGTCACATAAGGGGATACATAATATAAGATAGTCCCACTCTAAATGCTGTTAAGTTTAATCAGTTGGTTAAAGTGGTGACTGTCAGATCTTGCATTGTAATGTCATAGTTTTGTCTTTAAAATTAATAAATGATCTAATAGCTTTAGTATTCATTGATGATTCTTCCCTTACTCAGTTATTACATTGGGGCATGCAAAATGGAGACTTTCCTAATCCTGACATGATCCTACATTTAGTAGCTGACTTTTTTCTGTTACAAAAAACTTCTTTTTCTCCTTATTGATAAAAATATGGACTCACAGATTCCTATTTATTCAATAGGTTATTATAAATTTGAGTTATTATTCTTGGTCAGTGGGAGCTCCTTTAAGCTTCCTGCTCAATTGTCCCAGACTCACTTTGGA